TAGACCAGAGAAGTTGTTTGAATTAAAATCCCCATTGAAGCGATTGTGGCTTTGGGGTTTACGAGGAGGCCACAGAGCAGAATCATGAACTCGTACCACCACCATTCGAGGCAAACAGAGACGCAAGTGGGGATCGCCAGAGAAAGCAGAGGAGCCCATCCATGGAGGCAATCCACGCTCGGGGAAACCCAAGAATCCTTGTAAACCCCGGAGAAGTAAACGAACGACGCAAGAAACAAGAAGACGTTGAAATTGAACCACACCATGGCAATGGCCACTCCGGAGATACCCAATTTGAGATGAACAACAAGGAGGAAATTCAGGGGAATGTGGAGCAGAACAGAGAGAGCAGAGCAATAAGTCAATGGGAGGGTAATGCTCTGAGTTCTCAAGTAAATTCGAAGTGGGTGAAGGAGGGAGAGGAAAATGAGGTCCGGGATTGAGAAGAGGATGAAAGTTTGGGCCATGGAGGAGATTTCTTGGTCTTGGCCACACCACAAGAGGATTCGTTTCATGTTGAGCCACATGAAGGAGATGGGAACAGAGGAAGTGAGGAGTAGGAGGACAGTTCTTTGGAGGGTTATACCAAGGATTTTCCATTGTTTAGCTCCATAAGCTTGCCCACAAATGGGTTCCATTCCCATGGCCAATCCAGAGAGAACAGAGTAGCCAGTGATGTTAGCAAAGCCAATAGAGAGGGAGCCGCCTGCAAGTTCAAGCTCCCCAAGGTAGCCAAGAAAAAGCATGGAGATCATGGCTCTCGAGTACAGAAGAAGCCCGGTTATGGCGGTTGGACCTGAAATCTTCCCTATTTCCTTCACTTCTTCCACGGCCTGAAGAATGCAAAAACCACAAAGCTTAGAAAAGAAAAAAGGGATTGAATAACAATCATGCAACCATCATTTTGATCTTCAACTTTACCTCAGAAAGAGTGGGGAGTCTATGGAGTTGAGCCAGTTGATCATCATCAGCAACAGGTTTGAGGAGATGATTATTGTTGTTGTCCAAGTTTTTGTTGGGAGTTTGAGCATTCATGAAGTTGGTTTTGTAGTTAGGAGGGAGAAATGAGGAATTATTAGGAGAGGTTGGTTTTGGGTTACACATAGCTTATTAGGTGCCACAACACAATCTTCTTTTCTATCTGTATTTCTAAGTGGGAAACAATAGATAGATAGATAGAGAGAGAGAGAGAGATATGAGTGAGTAAATGGAGCTCTCCTTCTCCCTCCGCTCTCTCTGAAATTTTGTAATATTTTGTTTGGTGGGTTCTCCTCTAAGTGAGGGCTTCTCAAAATGGTATGATGAGAGTGAATGGGAGAATGGGTTTATATACTTAAGAGGGATTGCGACCTGGAAAATTTTCTGCCGTCCTCTTAAGGAACGTGTCTCAAGATATCAAGGA